GAGCCGGAACAAAGCGAAACGCCGTTCCGGTTGTTAACAAAAAGAGTGAAAACGTTCCACATAATAAAAAAAATACTTTGAAACGCCGGAACGGCAAATTTTGGTTAACGTTCCAGAATTTTTCGATTTAAAAACTACGCGTTCCAGTACAAGAGAAAGTTATACGTCTTTACTAAGGTCTTTGGTGTAAGTGATCTCACGATTTTAAACGAGTTTTAGTAGTGGTTTTAGTAAGTTAATTATTATTTTGCTTTTAAAACACTTAAGGAGGAGTTTTTGTAATAAAACAAAACTAAATAATGACTTAGTTGCTTTTCTCATTAAATATTTTGTTACGTATTAAAAGTTTTAGTTAAAACATTAAAATTTCAAGTATTATTACGTTATTTTTCTTAAAAATATAGAAGTTAATAAAGCTGTAAAAGAACTTTTTGTTCGCCTATTATTTCCTAATGTTATTTTTAGCACGCGCGATGAAGTCGACTCAAACAAAGTTAAAACATTTTTTTAAAACTGCAGGGTAAGTCAAACAGCAATTACTAACAACTAATAAGCCATTTTGGTGTTTGCAATGCGAATTGCTCTTTGTAATACGTTTGTAATACTTGCTTCCGCACAGGCATAACTTAACGACGAACGGCATCACTCCGCACCGATTACCACCATAATAAACACTGACTAAGTGTAATAGACTACAAAACAACCTATATCAAGTAAGTTTATAAATTGTGTAGGCCCACCACTTCATTTGTTTAGTCCTAAATACTATGCCCGGAGTTGGATTGAAAAACATGCCTCAGCTGATGATTTAAAGGCAAGGGCGAAAGCTGAGAGATCTGATTCTAATGTGAATCAGATTATAAGTTGATTTGGAAGATACTGGGATAATGACAAGCCCTAGAAGCTCTCTGAATACTGTAGTATTGGCTGTTTTGTGTTCTCATTATGTCATTGGTGCTATTATTTGTGTAGAATCTTAGATAGTTAAGTATTGTGTACTTGTTGAAATAAATTGCTTTAGTTTATAAATAAATTGCTTTGTTGAAATAAATTGTGTTAGTGATAAGCCCCCTGCTTCTGGGAGTTTACCACCCCAAACCCCCTCCCCCGTAAGGTGGGCCCCAGGCCCCCCACAACTGGATAGGCATCCTCCCGCTTGCCATCTTTGTTGCCTTTTTATAGTTCCACTTGTTCCTTAGTCACTTGAGCCCTGATACTTTCCAATGTTCGTGTTTGTAGCTTATATTAAACATTAGAATCAAGGAATGTTTTACTAAGTTATTATAAAAATATTTTGGTTTATAGGATTTATTTTCTACTATTTTATGTGAATAATTTGGTTACAAATCAATTTTAAATAGTTTGTTGATTTCTTAAAAAAAAGTTTATATGAAAAAGTTTATGAAAATTTTTTTAAAATTTGTTATATAAAAAATGAAGTCTACACACATAGTGACTAGAGCGTTAGTTGTGCCTCCCCTTGCCCCCTGAGCATATATAATTCGTACTTCTACTTCGCAAAAGTCTTACTACTCATTTTATATTTTCTTATGATTTTTATTTTTTATTCAACGACACCACCTACAATCTATTTTTATTATCACATCTCCCAGGTCTACGTAACTGAACGGCTCCGTTTGCCATCTATATGCGATCGTGTTGCATAAACAGTTATAAATATATTCTTTGTGGCTGGTGAGCCCCGATTTCTTCTAATGTACACTACAATGAAAAAAAGGACATTAGGCTATCCTGCTAGATGTGGTTACGGCGCTTATTAACCTAATGACTACGCTAACACTAACGCACACGCTCATTAGAGAGCTCTACAATGCACGTCGGATCAGCGCTCGCGGATTATGAGCTCGGAACTAAAATCTCACTTCACAGCACATCATTTCACACCAATACGGGGTCGTAGCTCTTTTGGCTAATAGTAATGGCTTGTGACCCACGGTGAATTTGTGTGCATTCGATCAATTAAAATCCATTCTGTATCTCTTACGTCTGGCTCTGATGTGCTAGCTCATAAGCGCAAGAAGTGAGTGTGTTTAGCTTTCTAATCACCCGATTTGAAAGTGAACGAAAACATAATGAGGCCATACTAGACGACTAAACGGAACCTACTTTTGCACCATCACACCTGTAGACATTAACAGTCTCTAATATCAGTAAATCACAATATTGTTCTTTATTATAAACTTTGGTTAATAATCTTTGTTTGACCTCATCCTTGTATATACTTTCAGATTTGTGTTATAATGTGTGAATGAGACCGTTTATGTGTGAAGCATAATAGCGAAAAAAACTTATACAAAATACCACCCGGTATACAAATAATCGACTAATGAAGACAGCCGGTTAACGGGGGTCGAAAGAATGATGACGCTTTTATAAATATATATACATGTTTTGTGCTTTTCTGGGTCATATATATTTCCTGGTATTCTATTTAGTTTGGCAAGCGCTCATTTTATCCGCAATTTTATGGGTTTGCACTAAGAAAAAACGAAGCATTAACAATTTGGGTTTAATAATACAAACAGACCACCAAAAGGTACACGTATGCAGTTGTAGATGTTCTCTAACAAAATAAAGTTTACTAAAGAGTAATCAAGATAATGCCTAACAGAAAAGCCTTCCAATGAAAACACACAACGGTAATACTAAAAACCCATACCATGGGCAAAAACTGATGAATGAGAGCAAAACAATTCCATAATGCGAGGTAAGTTAAATAGCTTCATATACACTCTCCCTCTGGGCTATATTCAAAAGAAGGGCAAGATTATAACCATCTGTAAAAGTTATTTGATATCTATAAGCATTTAAAATCAAAAACAATGTATTCAAAACAAAGAGATAACCTTGATATGAATAACCAGATAATATACGCAAAAAGTGCTAAAAAACACTCACATTTGACATCAGACTTCTATTACAAATATTAGGCTGGATAGCTAACACAACAATTATAACACAGATATATGTGATGTATTTTTGTAACAAATGTATTCTTGGTTGGAATCTACTGAACTAATCTACTAGATAAGTTTAGACAAAATCTGACGTCGCTAAGTTAGTTTGTTGTGTTTTGCACAATACAGTCTTCATTAACGTTCTTTAGGTTGTTTTGCCAACAATATTGTTTTTAACCTTACGTTTTTCAGTGGTTATAAGCTATTTAGTTTAAATTGCATTTATTGTTTTGTTTATTTTCTCACCATGGCCAACGACACGGGTTTGGAAATGGAGGGACTCAATCTTCAATTTCTAAAAAAAGTCTTCTATATCTAGAATTTTCTAAAAAAAAAAAAAAGGTTTTTCAGAAGAAAAAAAAAGGGGAAACACGTGCCCCCTGGGCTCCCCCATTCCTCCCTGGTGTTGTCGACCCTGTTCTCTGCCTACTGATTTAATGTTTATATGTTTTTATCTCTTGCTAATTTTTTTTTATTACTCTGAGTATGTTTTGCGTGAAAGCCATTGTCTCTACTCATCAGTTAAGATTTATATTTCTCATACTATCGGAGTTATTCAGCGTAGTTAAGGGGAGATCCGAACGATTTGCATTTCTTAAAAATAAAAATTTACGTTTTTAAACTTAATTTTTTGTGTTTTCCGCCTATGGTTGTTATATATTTTTAAAAAGTAGAATTTAAACTTTTTTATATAATTTATTATTTTTTTATGAATCTTTTTTCAACCTAAGTATCAAACAAAACAAAACTACCACTAAAATACTTAAAACGCATCGTTTGAAACAAGTTGAAACAAGTGTGTTAAGTATTTACATTCCGAAAATGTTTTTTATTCGAAAAGTCTCCTTGTTTACAGCATTAAAATATTCAATAAATGGCTAAAAAAGCTCTTATTTTATTTTTCCATAAACAGTAAAAATGTTAAAATCGAAGTTTTTACATTAGTTTTCACTCATAGCAATTTACTTATATAATCTCTTTATAGTTGTTTGAATAAATTACCAAAAAGAAACCTTTCAGCTTCTATATAACTTCTGCCCCATTAGTATTAACCTAAAACTTGAAACTCGTAGATAATATTTGTAAACGAATATTTGTAAACAAAATAATGCAATAAGCTTTGAGATTTTTTTAAAAAAATTAACCAATCAGAACGCACACAAAATAAAACGGCATTTTTTGAAAACGAAAGGGTCTAAACGCGATATTTTTCTTCGGATCTCTTAACTACGTTAAGTACCACAATCTCATCCATATTTTCTACTAACTACTTTCGCATTAACCACAAACCATCTCACTTAGTTTCGATTTTTATGAGTGGGTATTTACTTATTATATTTATACGACATATTACAGCCATTAAAGAAGTAAGTTCTTTTTATTATTAAATAATATTTTTTATTTGCTTTCTTTAACTTTTAGACATTACAATTGTTTATTTTAATACATGCGCATACGTGCATGTGTACACGTTTGTCTCTTCTAATGTAAGTGTACATGATACTTATATGTCTGGGCATTGATATATTTGTTCATGTTCACACTACGCGGATCCCTCACCACCTTCACGAGATCTCTAACGATGTTAGAACTGTATTAAAAACTGGAACTTTTAGTTTTTGTGGTGTAGTCCTATTATATTGCAATATTGACTAGCATGACGTAAGTGCAGAAGGTGAGATCTGCTGCAAGGACACGCCCCTGATGAGTGGCGTTAGTGCAGGTCTCGGGGCCCTGAAACTGTATTGGTGATTACAGTACATTTCTGAGGAGGGGGATTACCATTTATCCAGTACTTAATTTTAAATGGTTATAATGGCACCATCATTTTTACCTCTTACACCCATGAACTTTAGCGCTTTGTGAACTTTATATTATATATTTGTTACACTAACGATATTTATAAATCTTGCTTTGACACAGGTGGTTATTAGTTTTCAATTTATTATTGTCTAGTGTGATTACTGATTTCGTGTTTACCTTTTTGCTTAAATATGGTTTTAAGCATAACCTTGTATTTAGAAGCACAGAAGAGCGTGCCCAAAATGCTGAAGAACGTGCTTTGGCAGCGGAATTGTCGCTAAAAATATCAGACGAAAAAATTAAAGCTCTCGAAAGAAACGGCATGAAGTTATCAAAACATTTATTAACAAAAAATTAGTTATCACGTGATTATTGTTTTTAATGTTTATAAATAGTTTGAATTAAACTTTTTCACGTATTACTAATATTGCTAGTTGTTGCTTGTTAACAGTTACCGACAGCAACAGTTTACTGTAATTTAATCGTAAATATGATTAAATAATGATTAAATAATTGTATAAGATTATAAAAATTTAACTATTTGTAGTTTCACTAATGGCTAAGTAAGAACTACTTTTGATTTATAAGTTGTTTTTTTCTTTTTTCACGAGGTGGGTCGATTCAAAAAAATTTCGTTCAGCTATTTCTTTGTGTAGTTTAATGATTTTCATCAATAGCTTAATCAATAATCATTTCCATCATCAATACAAATGTTTTTAACTTTATAATTACATTTTTGTAATAACTAACTGGATTAGCATATTTCATTATTTTAAATTGATAGTTTTAAAATTAAATTTTCAGTTGAGGTTGCTTAATAAATTTTTCTTATCTGTTTGATTTAACATTTATCAAAACTTTTGGTAACAAGAATTTAAATGGTAAAAGCTTGAAAACAAAGTTGTATAAATTTTGATTGAATTATAATATCTATAATTAATCGATTATAATAATTGAATAGTGCGATTTTTAAAATGCGTAAAACTGATGGCATGATTTTATCTTATACTGAGGAGAATGTAAAGAAATAAATGTCATTAATTAGTCATATTTTAAATTCTGTATCCGGTTCTATGTTTGGTTGAAAAACCTTTAATTATATCTTAAGTTTAGCTCAAGTAGCTAACAGATGCAAATAAGAATATTGAAACCGTTTAAAGCAATACTAGCCAAGCACTAGTAATGTTACTTAAGCAAATTTTTTGGCTCTCGAACAAAATGCAAAGGTATTTCACTCCAATTTTCTTCAGGAACAAAAAATAAGTATTTTTTAAATCTGAATTGCCTAATATTCTTATGCATTACAGTTCGCGGAATAAAGACTCTTTCTACGCAACTTCTAATAAAACATTCAATGCTTCTAATAAAACTTCTAATAAATTCATTATTAAAAACATAAAACCAACTGGGTGTTTATATATATATATATGTGTGTGTGTGTGTGTGTGTGTGTGTGTGTGTATATATATATATATATATATATATATATATATATATATATATATATATATATATATATATATATATATATATATATATATATATATATATATATACATATATATATACATATATATATTAAAAGTTACCCATTTCTTTTTTTTTAAGCAAAATCTAATTCACTCCCAACAAGGCTGCAAGCAACCATTAATAAGTTGTGAGTTACTAGAAAATAAAGAATAGAGCTAAAGAGCAAGGAAACGTTGACGGAAGACTTGAAAAGTTGTAGGTTGTCTGAGTCAGGAAAACAAGATGAGAGAGTTAGAATTTCAAAGGGTGGAAGTAAGGGGTAAAAAATAGACGAATAAACGTTTTTGGATCATGCTGGGATAGATACTGTAAATGGATGAGACTTTGCTCAATGTTAAGCGAGTTAAGAAATAATGAGTCTTGGTTAATAGAACTAGAGATGATAACTCCTTTGAGCAGCAACAATGATAATATTTGTAAAATAGAGAAAGAGATGCAACCCTGCAACAATGGGAAAGTAGCTCAAGCTTGGTGGATAAAGCAGGTTCAAATACTTTTACTATCCGTTTCTTGACCTTGTCTAGAAGTGAAAAAGCATCATTAGAAGAAAGAACCCAAATATAATAACAGTTTTAAATAGAGGGACGAATAAAAAATTTGTAGAGATAGAGAATGAAATCAGGTGTAAGAAAATGGCAAGCACAATAAAGAGAAGCAACCTTAGCATGGGCTAACTTTGCAGTCAATTATATACTTGGTTTCCATGGGAGGTCAGCAGTCCAAGAATTCGTAAAAGAAGTGAATAGGTTGTCATTCCTTTATAAAGGAATGTCGACAATTTTGCGATAGTTGTTTGCATTAAATAACTGAGTTTTGTTGGAGTTAAAATTCACAATGCAATGCAAGCCCCAAGCTACTTCAGAAGTGAGATCAGATTCTAGATTGACTGTTTGTACTAATCGATTGAAAAAGAAGACTTATTTTCAAAACAAAAGCGTAAAGCTGAATCGTCAGCAAATAAAGCCACTTTTGTAAGATTGTCAGGAAGATCATTAATGAAACAATACAAGATTAAGGATAGAATATTAATAACAATAAGACCTTTAGGTACCCCAGAAGGAAATAAAGAAGAGTGTTGGCCTTTGAAGATAACTTTAATAAAGCGGTTAGAAAGATATGATTTGATAATTTCAAAAACTTTCCCAGATACAACACATGAAGCAACTTTATCAAATTTGCTGGGTAATTTTAAATGGCTAATTAAATAAGTAAAACTTTAACCATTGACTTTTAAATAAATTACTAAAGTAAAAAGGAATAGTTAAAGTTAACGTCACCGACCATTTTCCGATATTTTTATCTATATATGCGGGTTCTAAGAGAGAAAACCATAATAAAGTTCACAATTAAAATTAAAACTGCTTTATAGAACAGCTTTCAGTAATAGTAACAAAATAAATTTTAATTCTGATACATTATCTGCTTCACCTTTTGTTTAGAACATTCTGTGAAGTCTTTAATGGAAGTTTTTCTTTGTATTATTTCTTTGAATTTCTTAAGTTCTTAAGAAATCTTCAAAAATTAAGCTAAAACTAATTTTCAAAAAATTAAGTTAAATACTTAAAACCGAAATCAGAAAAGCTTAAAATAAATAACCAAACCTAAAATAACTTGTTTGAAAAACTTTGCAAAAATGATTTAAGAAAAAAATAATACTATTCTGACTTGCCCTATAAACACTAACAGGGATCAAAGCGCGTCTGGCAATTAATGAAAGAAATCACAGTAAAAATAAAAACTAATGCTTCCTTACTGCCACATCCATCGAAATTTAGAAAGAATATTAAGAAAATTAGCTAAAATAACTCCTAAATTTTGATGACCAGTCTTCGAGAACGGTGATCAAAATTTATATAGAGAAAAAAGTCTTTGCATATCTCATTGACAATATTTATGAAAATTAATTTGGGTTTCAAAGACGCAATTCAAATGAGCATTCCATTCTCCACTTACTCGATACCTTTTTAAACTCTTTAAAAACTTTCATTTTGCATTAGGAGTGTTAATAGACCTGTCCAAATGTGTTGTCTTTTATAAGAATGTACCTGATAAACAGACAATACTGATAGAGGTGTGTGTGTGTGGAGGGGGGGGGGCTCTATCTTGGAAGATATATTTTCTTGCTGTTTCTATATTGCAAAAAAGTTTTTTATATCGTCTATAAAAATGCGTGTACTTAACGTAATGTTTTACATACTAAATAAAAATTTAAACAAAAAAAAGCCGCCCACGCATGTTTTTGGTTGCGGTTTTTTATTCTCAAAAAGTTCAACGCTAACGCAAGCATCTCAAACAATAGCTTAGGATCGTCCATAAATTACGCAACGCTAAATTTATTTAAAAACAGAAGTAGGAGATCTTAAGCTCATTTGCTTAAGATCTCCTACTTCTGAACTTAATCAAACTTAATGGGCTATTTTTATTTTTTATTTAACTTAAACACTGCGAGGGAAATCCTCTGATCTTTTAATAGTTTTGTTTATTAGTGAAATTTAGCGTTGCGTAATTTATGAACAATCCCTTATATGAGCACAGGAGAAATCAAAAGAAGTTTGCTTAGACTCTTCAACAGCTTGTGGTCCTGACCACATTCCTGTTGTAGTCTTGCAGAGGTGTTCTCCGGAGCTTTTATCCGTACTTTCTAAACTATTTAACAAGTGCTTATCAGAGTCTTGTTTTCCATCATGCTGGAAAGCAGCATCTGTTATCCCTATTTTCAAAAATTCCGGAGAGCGATCTGATTCATCTAACTACCGTCCCATTAGTCTTCTTCCTGTCATAAGCAAGGTTTTTGAATCATTAATCAACAAACACTTAATCTCTCATCTTGAATAAAATAACTTACTTTCTGATCATCAATATGGATTTCGGTCTTCTCGTTCTACAGCTGATGTGCTAACAGTAATAACCGATAGGTTTTACCGTGCATTAGATAGAGGTGGAGAGGTTAAGGCTATCGCACTTGACATTTCTAAAGCTTTTGATAAAGTTTGGCATGCTGGTCTTCTCCGTAAGCTTTCTTCTTATGGTATAGCTGGTAACGTCTTTAAGATTATTGAGTCCTTTCTTTCCAATCGTAGTATAAAAGTTGTCCTCGATGGACAACACTCTTCTTCACATCCTGTAACTTCAGGGGTTCCTCAAGGTTCAATCCTTGGCCCTATACTCTTTTTAATTTACATTAACGATCTTCCAAATATTCTCACATCTAAGGTGGCATTATTCGCTGACGACACTACCATTTACTCTTGTCATGATAAGAAGCCTACATTCTCTGATTGCTTGGAGGGGGTATCTGAGCCTGAAAAGAATCTCACTTCTGCTACAGCATGGGGCTCACAGTGGCTGGTGAACTTTAATTCAGATAAAACTCAATTTTATTCGGCCAATCGTTATCGTAATAATTTAGATCTTCCTATATTTATGAATGGTAATGTACTAGATGAGTCATCTACCATTCATCTTCTAGGATTAACTCTTACTTCTGATCTTTCTTTTAAACCGTATATCAAATCCATTGCAAAATTAGCATCTGCTAAGGTTGCATCTCTTTATCGAGCTCGACACTTTCTTACTCCAGATTCTATTCTCTATCTCTATAAATCTCAAATCCGTCCCTGTATGGAATACTGTTGCCACATCTGGGGCGGATCTTCTAATGATGCTCTTTCTCTTTTAGACAAGGTGCAAAAACGAATTGTAAACATAGTTGGACCTGCTCTGGCAGCCAATCTCCAACCTTTGTCACATCGTCGTAATGTTGTTTCTCTTTCTCTTTTCTACAAATACTATAATGGGCACTGCTCTAAAGAGCTAGCGTCCCTTGTGCCATCTACTAA